TAAAATAAATGGGCTTAAATACTTTAAAAGCAATAAAAGTAAAATAAAAAAATTACAACAACTATAATAGTACTATAAATATATTTATTGTTATACAACAAATGTAACATCATTTAGAACAACATAATATATCTACTAAAGAACAAAGGCTTGAAAGGCAATGTTGTTTATGAAACATACTAATTTACATTTTTATTAACTATTATATTTAACTAATTATGAAACATACTAATTTACATTTTTGATTTACTATTATATCTAATATTTCAATATTAGATATAATAGTGAATAAAATCAAATTAATATCCGCCGGATTACAATTGAATTGTTTACAGTATTTTAGTTGTTGTTGTTTTGTTTTTTGTTTTTTATGATGTATAACCAAGTTTATAAGTTTTTATTTTAATATAAATCTAATATTTGTTTTTTAAATAACAATAAATAATCAAATTTTTAGGTATGGTGTTGGAAGGTTATCAGAACTGTTTTAAAACAGTTTCATCCGTAGTTTTATTATTACTGGGGAATTTTAGTTATGGTCAATTTGAGTTTGCTAACTCTCTACTTGGTCCAATATTTGTCTTTGGCTTCAATGTTATTGTGAATTGGGTTATTATGAGTATGTTCATATCCATTATAACTGATATTTTTGCTGTAGTTCGTGCCAACCTTGCATACCAAGATAATGATTATGAGATGGTTGATTTTGTAATGGAACAATTTAAAGGTTTCTTATTAATTTTTTTTTTTTAATTCTTTTTTTTTTATGCTAAAACCAATTCCATCAAATTTTTTTTATATATTGACAGTTTGTATATATATATCATCTGGCTACTGTCTTGTAGAAGGCCTCCTAGGCAAAGGCTTAAGGGGTAAACAGATTCTATCAGTTGACCATCTGAGTACTATCTCATATCACTAAGTACTATCTCATATACACAAAAAACCATTGTCATCACTAAGTTCTCTAAATCTATCATTCACTAATATTTGTGGTCTTCGAATTAACTTATCTTCTGTTGAGTCTTATCTCTTGCAAAGTTCACCAAACCTACTTGCTCTTTTTGAGACTAATTTGAGTTCAGCTGTTTCATCTTGTGATCTTAGTGTTGATGGTTATCTTCCTTTAATTCATAAAGACTCCAATAGTCACATGCTTGACTTGGGCATTTATATTCGTAAGAATTCACTTATTTGTCGGTTTAGAGAGTAGTCTGCATAACGAAAAGCATATAAAAGAGTAGTCTGCAAACGAAAGCATATAAAAGAGTAGTCTGTGGATTCAAACTAGGTTTGAATCCACAGACTACTCTTTTATATGCTTTCGTTTAGCACCACCACTCTATCGATATTCTCTTTGTTCTATATCGCTCTCCTATATCTTAAAATGTACTCTTCTTGATGTTATTTCTGATCATATTGACCAAGCTCTCTCTCTCTTTATCCATCAACCAGTATTGTTGTTGTCGGTGACTTTAATGCTCATCACACTGAATGACTTGGCTCTAGTGTCAGTGACTCTGCAGGCATTAAAGCCCACAACTTTTACCTTTTTTCAATCTGTAACTCAAATAGTCAACTTTCCAACTTGCAATTTTCCAGACAACCCAAATCATTTACCCTTGACTTATGTATTATTTCTGATCCTAGTCAGTTCTCAATTTCACCCTTAGGTGCCTCTGATCACAGTTTGATCTCTCTAAAACTAATATCTCATTCTTCTTTATCATCAGAATCCCCCTATCATTGTACTTCTTACAATTACCTTAAAGCTGACTGGGACTCTTCTTGTGATTTTCTTTGTGATGGTCCTTGGGTAGAAATCTTTTGTTTTCCTGTTGACAAATGTGCTTCTTACTTTGTGGATTCAGGCTGGCATGGAATTCTTTATTCCCTATCGACAATTCCAGGTCAAGCCTTACTCTTCTTCATGGTTTTCCTCACCTTATGCTGCTGCAATTGCCAATCAAAACCATTACTTCCATATCTATCAGCAAAACAATTCTCCAGAAAACAGAAGTCTGCTTATTACTGTTAGGAACCATTGTAAAAAAGTTTTGTCTAACGCCAAAGCCCGCTATTCTCAGATCATGAAATCTCGTATTTCATCACAAAAATTAGGCTCTCGTGACATCTGGAGAATCTTTAATACTACTAATAATTAGGGTAAACTTGTAATTCCACCTCTTTTGTATGGTTCAGACTTTATCACCTCACCAAAAAAAAAGCTGAATTGTTTATTATAAACTTTTCATTAATATCATCTCTTGATTCCACTAGTTGTGTTCTACCTGATATAGCCTTCAAACAGGTTAATCCATTGCTTGACATTCGTATCACTCCAGCTTCTGTATCTAAAGTGGTTTCCTGTTTAGACTTATCTACAGCTTGTGACCTGGACAACATACCTGTTAAAGTCTTGCAGAAGTGTTCTCCGGAGCTGTTGTCTATCCATTCAAAACTATTCAACAAGTGCTTACCCGAATCTTGTTTTCCAGTCTGCTGGAAAGATCTGTTATCTCTATTTTTTAAAATTCTCGAGAGCGATCTGATTTGTTCAACTACCGTCCCATTAGTCTTCTTCCTATCATAAGCAAGGTTTTTGAATCTTTAATTAACAAACACTTAATCTTTCATCTTGAATCTCATAACCTATTTTCTGATCATCAATATGGATTTCGATCTTCTCGTTCTACAGCTAATTTGCTAACAGTAATAACCGATAGGTTTTATCGTGCATTAGATAAAGGTGGAGAGGTTAAGGCCATTGCTTTTGACATTTCTAAACTGTTTGATAAAGTTTGGCATGCTGGTCTTCTGGACAGCACTCTTCTTCTTATTCTGTAACCTCAGGGGTTGCTCAAGGTTCAATCCTTAGCCTTTTTTTAATTTACATTAATGATTATCCAGATATTCTCACATCCAAGGTGGCATTATTTATTGATAATAATATTATTTATTCTTGTCTTAACAAGAAGCCAACACTCTCTGATTGCTTGGAGGGGGCATTTGAGCTTGAAAAGGATCTCACTTCTGCTACAGCACGGGGCTGACAGTGGCTGGTGAACTTTAATTCAGATAAAACTCAATTTTTTTAGCCAATTGTTATCGCAATAATTTAGACCTTCCTATATTTATGAATGGTAATGTACTCGATGAGTCATTTACCCTTCTTCTTCTAGGATTAACTCTTACTTCTGATCTTTCTTGGAAACCATATATCAAATCCATTGCAAAATTAGCATCTGCTAAAGTTGCATCTCTTTATCGAGCTCAACACTTTCTTACTTTGGATTTCATTCTTTATCTCTATAAATCTCAAATCCAGCCTTGTATGGAATACTGTTGCCATATCTGGGGCGAATCTTTTAATGTTGCTCTTTTTCTTTTAGACAAGGTGCAAAAATGCATTGTAAACATAGTTGGACCTGCTCATGCAGCCAATCTTCAACCATTATCACATATTTGTAATGTTGCTTCTCTTTCTCTTTTCTTCAAATACTATAATGGGCACTGTTCTAAAAAGCTAGTGTCTCTTGTGCCATCTACTAAAATTCATTCTCGTGTTACTTGTCATTCAAGTCTGATTCTTTTTTTGTGACTTCCTAAGTGCTCCAAAAACTTCTCTAGTTTTTTTCCTTGAACATCAATTCTTTAGAATTCACTTCCTTCATCTTGCTATCCTGATTCATATAATTTGCAATCTTTTAAGTTGTCTGTTAATTGTTATCTTGCTCTATAATCTTGCAACTCTAATTAGAGGTTAACTTCCAACTCTAATTAAGGGTTGCTTGCAGCTTTGTTGGAAGCAAAGATGTTTAAAATTTTTTTTTTTGAATTTTCAGGGTTATCATTTGATATCTTGTTCATAAAGAAAAGTTCATAAAGAATGAGTTCATAATGAAAAGTATATAAATTCTTGTAAAAAAGTTTTTTCTTGGTTGCACCAGTCTTTCAAAAAGTAAAGACTTTTTTTGGATTTTCTTGTTTTAAATAATCAGTGATCTCAGAACCAGGTGTTAAAAAAATAAAACAACACAATCATTGGCAGATCTTGTCAGTGGTACAAATAACTGGGTCCTCAAATCAATTTTCACAAAAATTAATTTAGATTTTTTTTATCAATGCAAGAACAATAAAAGCTCTTTCCATGCAGCTGCTTAGTCCACGTACCCATAATTCTGCCAGTGCATACAACATAAAAAATAAAAATATATTTAAAATTTGTGCCACACCAAATAAAGCTCTGTGACCATGAAAATATTTTTTGTAAATCCAAAGTTTTCAAAAACTAACCATCTTATACCTTCTGCAAATGATGCCAGATATTCGTATTTTTGTATTGCTCTGGAGCTTTTGGTTTGCCAATATCTTTTTGAGAGTCAAGTTAAACACCAAAATGAAGATTTTAAAAACACCAATTTATAAAAAAACCAACAAAATCTTGTTTTCAATAAATGTTGCACAACTACTTTTCTAGGCAAACTTGTTCATATTCTCATAGTTGATTCATTTTTAAAAAAATGCAAAAACATGCATCTCAAAGGACTAGATCAAGCTGTCAAGCACAAGTGAAATAAGGAAAAAATTAGGAAGAGAGAAAGGATTAAAAAAATTATAAATATATATTGAACAGATGTTCAGAACAAAACAAATCCACTAGAATTTATTTTGTTATATTTGATGCAGGTAATATGCAGTATTTGAACCAGACTGAGCAATAAATGGCCACTGAGAAATATGAAGCATTTCTATAGAAAATTTTTTTTTATAAAGGAGGATAAGTTAGAAAAACAAAGAAAAATGAATAGATGTTCAGAAAAACCACAGATTTATTATAAAAAGGAAAAGCTTATATACAAATCATAGTCAATTATATACAAATCATAGTAAATCTATTTTTAAAATATATCAAAAACAAAATAGGACATATAAGTAACCATAAATCTTCAGTAAATACAAAAGTTTAACATACTTTAAAACAAACATACATACATATGTATACATATGCATATACCCAGAACAAACATACATATGCATAGATATATCAATATTTGATGAATAAAAAAAAATGATAATAAATATAAAATAATAGGAGGTATAAGATAAAGAAATAAACATTATTGCTTTTGTGTAATCATAACTTATGTATAGGTGGAAATAAACTTCTCCTCAGAATTGCGCTGATGTTTATCTGAAGGGATAAACTAGATATTGGTACTGAGCCTCTTCAAAACGCCGGTAATAAGAATTTATTTCCACCAATACTTAAATTATGATTACACAAAAGTAAAAATGTTTTTTCTTTATCTTATACCTCCTTTCATTTTATATTTATTCATTTTAAATATTGATATATCTATGCATAAGTATGTTATTAAGGTTTGCATTTTAGTCTATTAATTTGTCACAAAAATATTTGTCCTTTAACTAACATGTTATACTAGTTGTCATGTTTAAATAATTTTCTGTAGGTCTTTTAGTAACTTTACCAGTCACATTTATTTCTGTCTCTTTAGCTTGGAGTTCTGTAAGGTGGTGTCTACATAGTAGCCAAATTAATGGCTTGCCTCTCCATCTCTCAATAATTGACAGTGCTCCTTTTATCCTGTCTGTTTTACTCGCAGTTGTATCAAACAATACACTGTCAACTGCTTCCTAAAGACTCCATTCATTTAAAACCTTTTTTACTGCAGTAGCCTGGGTTAGTCCACAAACATCAGAATA